AAACCAAAAAACAAACCTAAGTAAAAACACCTGTCATTGCGCAAGCCTAGGTAGGCATTCTAGAGCTCTAGGAAGGTTGAATGCAATTCAGTCAGGAACCTCTGAACAACTATGAGCTTTGGGCCTGGCTTTCATGACCTGAGAAGTCGGCAGAGGCAGCTGAGAGCCGCATGCAGAGGATCCAAGTGTAGGTTATAAGTTTAAAGGTTTGCTTACACAGTCCAAAAAGGCTAAAAAATATGCACTAAAAGAAGTTCAGATGGGAAAAACCCCTGAACAGGTTCCAGTGTGTTTTACAATGTGCGTAGGCTTAACAAAGAATATGGGTATAGACAGTCGTAGAAAGAAATAGTTTAAAAATAAAAGTCTTTAAAGAGAGAGTAAAAGTAATATAAAAGAAAAAAGCCACATAAGATGGGAAACACAGAGGGAGTTTGGATCCTGTATAGTATTGATATTGAATTTTGATTGTTAATAAACAAACAACAGCTACTAAGAGACATGGTGGAAAGAGAATAAACCAGCTTATATACATTAGGAATCCTTTAACTTTTAAAAAGTTTTAAAAAAATGTATTTGTCAAATGGAGATCAAAAATGCTTTGGAGTTTTGTTCCCACAGGAGATGAGAGGCTATGGATTCCTTCAGGGTTAATATGGATCAGGTTTGATTAGGCAAGACCTCCTGAAACTTGACAGGTGATATTTATCAGCTGGTCTTCCCAGGACTTGGTCATTATCTCGAAATTTCCTCTCTGGAATCTTAAAGATACTTTGTCCACAGAGAGCAGGAAGCAGTTTGGAGATGTCCACATTCCCAAGGGGGTGGGGAGGTTTTTGGTTATTTGGTGGGTTATAGATGTTTGTTATCCTTTAGGGGAATATATAATATTGATACCAATTTAAAGTTATTTTTGTTACACTGTATATTTGTCTACTCTCTTTTAAAGAATTTTTGTATACTGATAAAAATGTAAGGTTATTTTTGTTACAACATATTGTTTGTATGTTTCTATTTTTGTTTGAGATATTGTGCCTATGCAGTTCATTGGAAATGTAAGGTGAAGTTCTAGTTTTTGAAAGCTATTATTATAAACTATATAGGATAATCAGGAAACATAGGTTAGTCGTTAGTCAATTATAACAATCAAAATTATAAGTATGTTAGGTATGCTTTCCAGATCATACAGAGATATATTATAAATAGATAGATGGTCTTCAAACCTTTCAAAGACCTACAAAATATGGCATTTAAAATGTTTTGTTAATACAGGCTTTTCATGACAATGAGACACATATATGGCTGGCAGCACCAATTTACTTCAGAGAAGATGATGGGCATTGAAGAAACTCCTTATGGAGTTTGCTTTCATTGTGGCAAGATTATCCAATGGGCAAAGAAACTGCTCTTGTCTTTGCTGACAATGTGCTGTGCAGACTGGACACACAGGAAAAAGACTGTTGAACTTTGTCAAAACAAGGCAGGAGAGTCCTTCAAAATTCCTGCTTCACAGAAGAGTCTGCCAGATATTCTGCAGGACACACAGGAAAGTGACTGCTGACCTTCGACAAAACAAGGCAGAACGGTCCTTTGAATTTCCTGCTTCACTGAGAAGTTTGCCAGATACTCTAGGCCTTTAGGCTGAAGATGGATGCCACAACGTGGCAGAGGAACTCTGGGTGACTGTCCAGGCAGTCAGACGGCTGTCATTTCTAGAGTTTTTGCAAGTTGTTTGCAATGCACTTTTTGCAATGCACTTAATAATATTATATTCTTCTGGGGCCTTTGATGGAGTTGAAGACTAGATAGTTATAGTTGCAGTTTTTCTTAGTTATGATAGAAAGTAAATTATGTATAAAACTTTGGAGTTCTAAGATGAATGGATAGTGGAGTGCTTTCTCTGAATTTGCTAAATGTAAATAGACTGAACATTAGAAATTAATTTTTTTAAGATTTTATTTATTTATCATGTATACAGTGAGTGTTCAGCCTGCAGGCCAGAAGAGGGCGCCATATCTCATTGTAGATGGTTGTGAGTCACCATGTGGTTGCTGGGAATTGAACTCAGGACCTCTGGAAGAACAGCCAGAGGTTGTTTTCAACCTCTGAGCCATCTCTCCAGCCCTGGAAATTAATTCTTACTTGATAACTGTTTTTGTTGTATGTAGTTATACTATGTTAAAGTTAAAACCTTTCTTTTTATTTAGACAAAAAGAGAGAAATGTGGTAGAATATTATTTTAAGGTGTGTTACTTTTGTTTATGTTGTATTTGTTTAATTCTGTGACGCTGTGTTACTGTGCCTGTTTAAAACACCTGACGATCTAATAAAGAGCTGAACGGCCAATAGCAAGGCAGGAGAAAGGACAGGCGGGGCTGGCAGGCAGAGAGAATATATAGAAGGAGAAATCTGGGAAGAAAAAAAGGAGGTAGAGAAGGAAGAGGACATCAGGGGCCAGCTACCCAGTCACAGGACCAGCAATGGAGAAACAAAGAAAGGTACACAGGAATAGATAAGGAAAAGCCCAGAGACAAAAGACAGATGGGATAATTTAAAGTTAAGGAAAGTTGGCTAGAAACAAGCCAAGCTAAGGCTGGGCATTTGTAAGTAAGAAAAAGCCTCTGTGTCTTTATTTGGGAGCTGGGTGGTGGGCCCCCTAAAAGAGTAAAACAACTAGCAACACACTAACTTTTAATCAGTATTACTTCATACTCCCTTCCAGCTGCTTCCCTCAGCCATGTAGAGAAAGGCTACATTTTCCTGCTTCACCTACATGAGCTAGGGGAGCCAGCAGGGAGAATGTCATCAGTCAAGTTCCAAGAGAAAGCTCAGAGAAGCTGAAAGAGGACAAGAATAAGATCCCAAGTTCTGTCCCAAAGGGAGGGAAACAGTGCAAATAAGCAAGGCAGACACTGGACAGAGAGATGGAGACCATTCCATAGGGCTGTCTGCTTTGGGGGCCAGGGTCTCATGTAGGCCAGAGGTTGGCCTCTGATGTGTTATGCCGCACAGGCTGGTTTTGAACTCCTGATCCTCCTGCTTCTACCACCTCAAATGATGATTACAGGTGTTTACAACCATGCTTGCCTGTCCTATTTTGTTTTTGAGACAGGGTCTTACTATATTGTTCACACTAGTCTCAGATTTGTAATCCTTCTGCACCAGCCTGCGGAGTAGTGGGATCAGAGGCACACACCACTAAGCCTGGCTTTACCAGCAATTTTGTTTGTTCTGAGACAACAGTCTTCTGTATCCCAGAAGGATCTCAACTTCTCCACAAGTAGCTGAGGATGACCCTCAACTTCTGATCTCCTGGCCTCCACCTACCTCTGCCCCAAAACATACCTGGTTCTATACAGCAACTTTAGGGCTGAGCTTTGATTGGCCCTGGAGTAGAAAGACATGGCTAATTTGGATGCTGTGCACCAATGAGGACAGATTATCTCTGGCTGGCCTGGAACTCAGTATGTAACCAGGCTGGTCTCAAACAGAGACCCATCTGCCTCTACCTCCTAAATGCTGGGGTTAAAGGTGTGCACCACCACACCTGGCCTCTCTGTTCTGATTATCTTTGTGATGTGACCAGTTCCCTCAAGGTCCAGCTGCTGTGACTCCCCACTACAATGGACTATTCTCTGGAACTGTTTCCCCTAAATTGCTTTAAGCAGGGTATGCTGTGTTACTAGCTGGGGAAGAAATCAGGACCGAAGGCTGGAGGGTGTGTCCTCACTGCAGCTACAGAGGCGGTAAAACTCTGGTGTGGCCAAGTCCACCCAATCACCAGGTAGTACCAAGGCTCAGGGGAGACACCAACATATCCACAAATGGCCTCAAGTTGGAAAGTTTCTCAGTATAGAATCAAGTCTGGTGGGGCTGGGCCCTGCTTCCCAATGCAGAGCTCTGTCCAGCTTGCAGGCTTCCCACAGCACTTGTCCTCCTGTGCCCACACAGCACAAGCCACTTCAAATGTCCACAATCACAAGAATTCACAGGCTCTAATGTAAGTTAGCAAAGATCACCAAAAAGGCGCTATCTCATATATTTACCATCTTGGTGTGAGATTACGGAACAGCTTGAGACCAAATAAAGGGCCCTGGAGGTCTCCAGCTCCAAACTCCAACTGTTTGGAAAAACAAACACAGAAAGCATTACTGGCATTCTTTCTACAGCAGCAGCCCAGGTCTCAACAGAGAGCTGGCAGATTCCTAGTGTCTCAGCATCACCACTGCCCAGATTCACAGGAGCCCAGACTGTAGACAGGGGTTCCTCCAAAGAAAACGTCAGCCCTGCGTTCTGACCTCCCTCGGCCCCGTCAGGAGAGGAAGGAGACTGGCAGTCCACGCTGCTCCCACTGTAGTGCCGCCTGCTGCATGGTACGTTCAGCGGAGCAACTCCACACTGCTCTGTACTGCTGACCCCGACAGGAAGTGGTCTGGCTGCCTCCTTTATTACTAACCTGGGGGACTTTCAAGCAGCATTCCCCTCAGGCAGTGAAGGTTAGCTTGCCGTACGACTATTCAATAACGGAACCATGGACGGACACGAGAATCCAGCTGGTCTTACCTCTCCCCATCCCTTTGCAGAAGTAACTCGTCGGAGTGCGAAGTTAACAGAACCACCACCATTGCCATTCTGGGTGGAGAGACTTCCGGAGAGGATGGCTGTGTCTGTAGCTGTCAAGGGTGCCTAAGAGAAGACAGCCACTGGTATCAAGTGAACAGAGGCAATGGGGACAGAGGCCGGCGGCCTCCTCTCCCGTTACAGCAATGGCATGTGGCCACGAAAGTCGTTTATTTACAGAAGTTTTTCTGAGAGCGTCGCACTGTGTCGCTCTGGCTATGGGGCTACACAGAGGAGGCTAGCCTCCCTGTGCGATGATGTTCCTGCCTCTGACTCCCGAGTGCCGGCATGTGCCATCATCCCCTGCCATGCATTTATGTGTGTATGTGGTACTGGAGATCAAGCCCACGGCCTGCGATGACCAGACAGTGCTCTACCTATGAGTTACCTCTTGAGCCTCAAGTTTCAAGGAGAGAATCTCCAAAACCCAAAGCTCCTCCAGTGTGCCGTGGCAGCTTCATGGAGACCCCACCATGTGCTGTTCTAGCTCTCTACTCCCAGCCTGCCACCAGGGATCTGGCTGTCCTAAAGGGCTCGTCAAGGACAGCAAATTTCTCGGCATTAACTCCATGGGGCAGGCTCATGCACTTGATAACAAATGAAGACGCTGGGGTGTCCTAAATAGAACAGCCTGCCCCTCCTGCACCAGGGACGGGAGGGTGGTGTTCGAATCCCTGGCTCAGGACCAGAACTGCTACTGTCTTCCACAGTTAAGTACTTAGAACTGAGAACTGTCTGCCAGCCAGGGCTGCTTTCTTTCTAAAATCACTATGACCTTGGGCGTCTATACTTACACCATTAGCACACCTAACTGGCAAGACCTGGGACCTTGGGAGCTGAGTGCCAGCATTCAGCCACATTGTGTGTAGGGGCAAAGCAGTAACAGACAAGGCCAAACGGAGCATGCTCGCATGTTCTCTCATCCTCCCTTCCCCCCCTCAGTGGCTAATTGCAGCCTTTCATAAATAAAGATGAGGAACCCTCCTCCCCCCCTCCCCCGCCAACTCCCATCCAGCTGCTCCGGCACTGTGCCTCATTAACTCAGGCCCAGGCTGTACTTGGAGAGGTGTCTGTGCTTTACCTCAATGGACTGGGATATGTGCATTTTATTAATCTCAATCTGCGGAAAGCCACTTCCGGACACATCTTCATATTCCTCATCATAGCGATCAAAAAGGTCAGTGGCGTCGACTCCAACGCTGATGGTTCCCTGGGGCAGAAAAACAGGCAGTCAGCACCAAGTGCTGGTGTTTTGTGGAGTGAAAACACTGAAGCAGAATGCTCAGGCATCTCACTTCACGGAAGGACAGTGCTCCATGAAGCCCACAAAGCATGGATGTTATAGTTCAAATAAAAAGCTTCGGCATGCCTGGGACTGTTAGTTAGAGCCAGAAAACACCAGCTCTATGGGAAGAGCCAACCTGTCCACACCTGCAGAGCGAGCATGCACCAGAGAAGACACGGGAGAGAGAAGCACATGACTTGACCATGCAGGGACCACACAGGACCCTGGCTACATCGCCTAGACACCAGCCAAATGGACTAAGCACCTTTACTTCAAAACCACCTCTTCATCCCACAAGACCCAAGAGTGCCCTCCAGAGCAGGAAGCAGGTACGTGAGATGCACACATGGGATGTTCACACACTGTTCTGCCTTTGAAAACTACGTTGAGCAACAGAAGGCAGCATGTTCACGAGATTCGCTATCTTAGTCTTAGGGTTACTAGAGCTGTGGTGAAACACCATGACCAAAAGCAAGGTGGGGAGGAGAGGGTTTGTCTGGCTCACACTTCCACATCCACAGTCCATCACTGAAGAGAGCCAGGACAGGAACTCAAACAGGGTGGGAGCCTGGAGGCAGAGCTGATGCAGAGGTCATGGATGGGCACTGCTTACTGGCTTGCTCCCCATGGCTTGCTCAGCCTGCTCTCTTGTAGAACCCAGGACCAGCAGCCCAGGGATGGCACTGCCCGCAATGGGTCTCATCCTCCCCGATTAGTCACTCATTAAGAAAATGCTCTACAGGCCTGCCTACAGCCCGATCTCATGGAGGTGTTTTCTTAACTGGGGCTCCCTCCTCTCAGATGACTCCCGCCTGTCAAGTTAACATAAAATCAGGCAGCACGTTGATAAAATCCGCCACAGAAAAACAACGTGTATCATTTTCTTTCAAAGTTCTAAGACTTTTCTCATGGTTACATATCTTAACCGAATGTATGTACACACACAAAATCACGCACATTTTTATTAATTTCTTTTCAGCCTATTTATTATTTTTCAAAATAGAGACTCACTTTGTGGCCCAGGTTGACCTAAAATTTACCATCCACACTGGCATTGAATTTGAAGCAGCACTCCTGACTCTGTTTCTCAGGTGCTAGGATTACAGGAGTACATCAATGGATCAGCATGACTCCATCTTAAGATTAAAAGCTATCTTGTTACAAGGTCAAAATAAGTTCATTCCTGTTTTCTATAAAAGTTGGGTTTGACTGTGTCTTGACACACTTTCTGGAATTTGACATGTTCCTTGACCTCCACCCTAATGAAGTAAGATACTCTGCCAAATAATTCTGAAACAGTCAGCCAAATTCCTATATATATATATAAAAATCAAAATTCCTCTGGAACCACCCCGCGGCCCTAACTCAGTCCTGCAGTTTTTTTGGGCTATATAAGCTTCCCCTTTCCCTGGGTTCGATGCTTTTTTCTCAAACGCCACTTTAGGAAGACAGCCGTCTGACAGAAAATAATGCTTGCCTAATTTGACCAAAGAAGTGAGGTGACGGTCTTCACTCTCGGTTGTGCAAATCCCTTCCTGCAGGTGCTTAGAGTTTCGTGCAGCTTAGTCTGGTTCAAACTCATTATGCAGTCAAGGGATGACCTTGAACTCCTGATCCTCCTGCGTCCACCTCTAGGGGCTACGATTATGGGTATGCTGCCACCCTACATGACCAATGGTGGACAGATGAATATATTCCTTAAACAATGTATCAAGAAGTAATTCAGCTGGTTGTGGTGGCACATGCCGGTAGGATTTGCTGAAGGAGGCAGAGACAAGAGGATCACAAGTCCGAGGCCAGCCTGGTCTACAGAGTGAGATCCAGGACAGGCTCCAAAACTACACAGAGAAACCCTGTCTCAAAAAACAAAAACAAAACAACAACAAAAAGTAATTCAGTGTCCCCAAGAAGGGGAGATATGCAAGCACAGACTTATGACAGACAGGGGTACCTAATGGAGGAGCCAGGACAGAGGCCAGTAGGGCCTGAAGAGAGCTGGAGCACGACAGCCTGGCGCTGGGAGGCTAAGGCAGGAGCATCCTTTGAGCCCAGAAGGTAACACAGTGGGCACCAGCCCCTGAAAAAAGTGTCTGTCCCTAGCTTTGTGCTTTCAAAGTGGGGCCTAATGTGACCTAACTCCTCTCTCTCTTCTTGGCTAAAAGGTGAAGGTCTGCTCCACACAGCTGCCAGGATGTGCTGCTACAGGCCCCCAAAGCAGCTTCCACAATCAACTCTGGACAGATTGTTCTCTCTTCCTTCCTTCCTTCCTTCCTTCCTTCCTTCCTTCCTTCCTTCCTTCCTTCCTTCCTTCCTTCCTTCCTTCCTTCCTTCCTCTTCTCTCTCTCTCTCTCTCTCTCTCTCTCTCTCTCTCTCTCTCTCTCTCTCTCTTTCTTCTTTCTTCTTTCTTTCGAGACAGGGCTTTGCTTGCTATGCAGCCCTGGCTGACCTATTACTGGAAAGGCAGTCTCAGAGGGTAATGCCATGTGAAGTCTGTCTAGGGCCATACCACCTTCACCTTGTTTTTGTTGGCTTAGCTATTAGCCAAGATTTCCCGCAAAGTATCACCAGCAGTAACAGTTGCGTTGAATCAAGATTCCAGAGTGGGGGCTGGCAAAATGGCCTACAGGGTCACACGTACTGGCCGCCATGCCCAACTACCTGAGTTCCATCTCAGGAATCCACAGGACAGAGGAAAGAACCGACTGGAGTGAATCACGCTGATTTTCACACCAGGCACCACATCCTCTCTAAATGAAGCTGGAATTTACAAGGAAAAAGACAGCAGAGTGGTTCTGACGGTCACCCTCACCTCTGCATTCGTGGACAAGGTCTCTCCCATCTAACACGCGGGGCGGCGAAATGCCCAGCAAGGACCTCGCTCTTCTCCTATCCACACTGTCTCTTGGCTTTAAAAAGGTGTTTATTTATTCATCCGTGTGCCCACGCATATGCATGCACCTGGTCTCTGCACATGAAGAAGCCAGAAGAGGGCATCAGGTGCCGGCCTCTGTTTCTTTCCACCTACTCCTCTGAGGCAGGGTCTTTCCCTAAGCCCAGGACTGGCATTTTCTTGGCTGGGTTGGAGGCCAGTAAAGCTCAGTGACCCTCCCGTTGCTGTCCTCCTTGGAGTTGGGGTTATAGGCAGTTTCAGAATACCCAGCTTGTTATGTGGGTGCTGAGATCTGGAATCCAGTATGATTTTGAAGCAGTGCTCTTAACCCCAGCCATCTGTGGTGACCCATAGAGGCTTCCTAGTGAAACCTTACTCAAGGTCAGAGAATCTGAGCTTGCTTTATCCAGCAGGGCTGCATAATGGGATGATTTGGCCACGGGCGTAGGTACCAAGTGTTTTAAAAGGTCTACACTTGGCTGTACATTGTGCTTTGATCTGAATAGGGAGAGGTCTTTTGCCTCTCCCCTTGGCATATTATAAAAAGGCCTTTTGAATAAAGCTCGGCACAGCTGGTATTGACCCAGGCCCTCCCGAAGCTATCCTGCATCTCTCTGTTTTTCTTATCATCTCTTTCTATCTTTCTACCTAGTATTTCCTCATTCCCCTTTCCTCCCCTCAAGAACCCTTTGACAGGTCGGAGCTGGACTCTGACAGACTCCCACAGCCAACTCTTCAGGTTCTCTCCTCCCATCTATTTCAAGAAGAAACGAAACAGCATGTTCTTGCCTCAGATGGCCCTCATAGTACTGGCCCATGTGGTGCTTACTGACAAAAATCGCTCCGTACAGCTAACTCCTTTCAGGCTCAGTGGTGGTGGGCGGTCTCAGATGTGCCTCTGGGTGGCAGGTGGCCAGTGCGTTAGCCTGTACGTTGCAGGAAGTTGTCAAGCTATTGTCAGCCACAATCACAGGACAGTGATGGGTAACTGTGACAGGTGGGAAATGAGGGTGGGCTTGCTCTGTAGTTGGATCTATCACAGTCTGTCATCTGCTGCTGATGTCATCAGGACTGGCATTTCCAGTGAAGGGCTGGAGTACATAGTATTTCTGTGGTTTAGGCTACATGGCTGCTGTCCTCAGTGTTCCCTTCTGCTGTGTTGTGAGAGCAGCAGATAACAGCAAGGAACTGCCTGTGGCTCTGCTCCAAGAAAATTCTGTCCATGAACCTTGCAACCGCAACTGCACATAATTCTTATATGTCACTAAGCAGCAGTCTTTATTTTTGCAGGGGGGGGGGAATTTTTCTGACAGTTTCTTACCTCGTATGCCATCAAAAATAAATAAAAGTCACTGACTGTGTTTTGTCAGTTCCTGAGAAACATACAGGCTTTTGCTGTTTGGTAATGCTTGATGTCCTGACATGACACGTTCTTCAGACAATGATGTAATAATTAAACTGTGTTTCATTAAGAAGAAAAACTAAGCATCACATTTTCAGTTTCTCAGAAAGATGTACTTACAAGGCCTCTCTCTTCCTTCTTTCTTTTCTAGTACATTCAAGGCAAGTTCTCCACCACTTAGCTATACCTCAATACTTGGAGACATTTTTCAAGACGAGGTAAGTTGTTCAGACTGGCCTTGAACTTTTGGTCCCTGAGCACTGAGGACTACACTCCCAAGCTGCCAAGTCTGGCTCAGACTAATTTTTTAGATTGTCATTTATTACTTTTATTATTATTTCTATTTTTTTTTAATGTTTTCTTCTTTTGGAATAGGGTCTTGCTACACATGTAAGCCAGGAAGGTCTCAAACTCACATAGAGCCTCCTGTTTCTTCTTTCCAAGTACTGAAATTCGAGGTGCATGCCCCAACCCCTCTATTATTACTGTTGAGGTGGGGCTCTCACTGTCTTGCTCAGGCTGGCCTAGAGCTCCTGGTCAAACAACTTTGGCCTTTGAGATCAATGGTGTGTGCACACCACTCACTCAGCCCAAAGAGCTCACCAGCCTTGAAACACCAAAAGGATTGTAGTCACTGAAAACAAAGGGACATCTGTAGCAAGAATCTTAGAGAGTCTTATTAATAAAACCAAACCTGTGAGCCAGGTATTGGGGTGAACACTGCAAGATCAGAGAGACAGAACAAGCCACAGCTACCTCACCTCACCGGATCCTCAGCTGGTCTTGTTTCCTCAGACTGGAGGCCTTTGAGTCCTCATCCAGCCAGAATGGGTCTCAGCTGAATTGCTGCTTGAAGCCTGAATGCTTAACCAGCCAAATGCTTAACCAGCCAAATGCTTCTAGTTTCTGGTCCTCACGCCTTATATATCTTTCTGTCTTCCACCATCACTCCCTGGGATTAAAGGCTCGCTTTCTGGGATTAAAGGCATGATGAGTCACCATGTGTTCAAGTATCCTTGAACACATGGATTTCTGCCTCTGGAATGCTAGGATTAAAGGCGTGTGCTACCACTGCCTATCCTTTATGTTTAATATTGTGGCTGTTCTGTCTCTGACCCCAGATAAGTTTATTAGGGTGCACAATATTTGGGGGAATACAATACCACAGACATCCCCAGATGCATCTGCTCATGAGGGAAAACCTGAACCAAATATGTCCTCCAATGGTCTGAGTAATGTCTCCACATCTACAGATGGCCTTCTGGCAGGTCAACTTTGGAAGGTGGAACTGACATTTTCAACTAGTTAAACTCACACTCCATTCTGTGGAATGGAGAGGCCCCAGGTTTAGTGTCTATACTTGATGACACATTCAAAAGATCATAAATACAATTTGTTTAAAATCATCAAAGACAGCAGGGTGGTGGTGGCACACACCTTTAACCCCAGCACTCCAGAGGCAGAGGTAGGTGGATCTCTGAGTTCAAGGCCAGCCTGGTGTACACAGGGAGAGTTCCAGGACAGCCAGGGCTACTCAGAGAAACCCCACCTTAAAAAACAAAACAAAACAAAAATATCAAAGATTGTTCTGAATGGAGGCAAAAAGAAAATGAGCACGAGCAACACCTCATGAAGAAATTTTAAATGGAAAAAAAATTTTTTTTTTGAGACAGTTTCATGTTACCCATAATGGCTTTGAATTTGGTATAGACGTGGCTGAGGCTGGCTTTGAACTCCTAATTCTCTTGCCTTACCGTTCAAGTGTGGAATTACAAGTGGGCACCACCATGAGTGACACACATATACCCCACCTCTCCAGAGTAACATATCCATAACGACAATTTAAAAACCAGGAAGAGAAAGGAGGAAGGGTGGGAAGGAGGGCATGGGTGATGGTGCTGACTTCAAGATCAAGTCTGAGAAACTGATTCATCTGGGTCTCTGGACCATCTATTTGGGAAAGACCAGCTATGCAAATCAAAGCAACTACTCAGGGCTATATCTGTTGGGAGGAATTCCAAGCTGGCTAACAGCTTTATGGAAAAGCCGTCAGGCCAGGGCATTCTGCCAGCTACCCCAGCTGAAGAGGAACTTACTTGTTTGCAGAAGCTACTGTCCATGGTTCGAGTGCTGAAATACTATCACTTGGGAAGCTGAGGCAGGGGGATTGTTCTAAATTCCAGACTAGCCTGAGTTACATACTGAGTTCAAGGCCAACCTGAGCTACCTAGGAAAACCCCTGCTCAAAAACAAACAAACCCAATCAACCAACCAACCAAGCTTTTTTCAATACCTGGCCCAGTAAACTTCTGAATGTTCAGACCCAGCTGCCATCAGACTATACCTGAGGGTAGGTTGTCAGTCTAGAACCAGGCAGCAGAGTCTAGTCAACCTCAGAAATCACGAGAATAATTCAAATTGTTTCAGGCTGAGGATGTAGCTCATTGACAGATCCTGGATATGCAAGGCCCTGGTTCCTTCCTCAACAATTCTACAACAGAAACAGGTGTAGGCCAAGGGTGGGGACAAAACTTTAATCCAGCACCACATCTGGATCTCAAAGTTTTGTAATAGTAAATATTCGGCAAGGGACGCTGGAACAGGAGGATCACAAGTTCCAAACCATTCTACGCTACAAGCAAGACCTGTCATAAACCAACAAAGCAATGACACCAACTCCACAGGGACAAGCAAGTGATTGCCTCAGCAGATGACAAGTGACCACTGCCAGTCTGAAACGATGGTCTGGTCATCACTTTTCAGCCACCCCACTGTTTTTTAAACAAGGCCACACTAACTGAAAACTCCAACGAGCCAGTGACTTTAGACTCAACAGCCTTTGGTTGACCAAATCTATGGAAAACAACTAAACCGGATGGTGACAGTGGGCCGAGGAGAATGCTGGGCTCCGGCAACAACTCACTTGATGAAATTAACTGTCCTGAAATGGCCGGTCAGGTCACCCTGAGTTGACAAGGGCATTTCTTCATTTCCGGGAGGGTCCAGTGCCACCTTCTGCTCTTCTCTCACTTTGGGAAATAACCATTTGCAGATGACCTGCTACAGCACCAGAGTAGGATTTCTTCCCTATGTGCCCAAAAGCTGGCCTACAGTTTAACAAGAATTATTCACCTTCAACACCGTATGTTTTCTTCCAAAGATGTCCTACCTGAGTGCTGACAGAGACTCCAACACACAGAGCTGATGCAAAGTATTGGTGGCTGCACACACCTCATGGCTCAGAGGTTAGCTGAAGCTTCTGACGAGTGTGTGCAGGTTCTCTCTATTAAATGCCCCAACACACACTCACATAGAGTAAAAAAAGCATTTACCCTTTAACCTCCCCCACCAACTCTAGATCACAGGCTTGGTTCTCTACAGCTCTGGCTGTCTTTGAACTCAGAGATCTGCCTACCTCCTCCTCCCCAATTCTGGTAATTTTGTTTGTTTGTTTGTTTGTTTGAATGCAGCCCTAGCTGACATGGAAGGCAGGATTAATGTAGGCTGGCCTTGAATCTGTGGAGCTCCTTCAGTCTCTACAAGGCAAGCCATAACCTTGCATTCTGTCCTTCTGACTACCAAGCTTCCACCTGCGTCTCACGCTTTCCCAGAGCGAAGATGTCACACTCTTTGTAAAGAGCAGAGAGTCAATCTAGGCACTCACTGATGGGACTGAGCCCTCAGCTCTGGGTTATAACCAAACCCAGGCACAGATGATGCAGCCTGAGCTCTGGCAATCCTTCACTCATTTGTAACGTGACTTTCATGTGTTACAGAATATTCTTCTCTCGAGTTTTACAAAACTGTCGTTCTTACTCTTGGGCTCACACTGTTTAATGGGCTGCAGCTTGCTGACATGCTGTCGAGCCCTGAACTCTGCCATCAGTGTCTAAAGAGGGCCACTGGAGGAGCCGTGACGTGGCTGTCACACAGCAGGAGGGGCTACTGGAAACTGACCTGCGGTGCGGTGGGCAGCTACAGATCCCGACTCAGACCTCCAGGACTTTGGGTGTGTTGTCCACAGTAAGGACACTTAGGTCCCCCCTTTCTGCTGGTGACAACTAGTCTACAGGACTTCACCCAGTTTCCTGTTTATTAAGTCAAACCAGTCAGAGAACAGGAGCACAGCCAGCCGGAGAGCGCTTCTTTCACAGCCTCATGGCCCTGCTTCTCTCCCCCACAGGCACCACTGTCCACAAGAAGACCACAGTTCACAGACGTGTAATGGTCCTCTTTTTCTCATTAATGGTTAGGGATAAAAAGCCCCCCCCTTTTATTCCTTTGTGAGGCAGAGCCTTAGAATTTCAACAATGACTCTTTTTAACCGAGTGTCTCCCCCAAGGCGATGTGGTGTTTGAATGAAAACGCCTGCCCCGGCTGGGGCAACTGAACACTCGGCTGGGGCAACTGAACGCTCGCCCCCAGCTGGCTGCACTCTTGGAGGAGGACGAGGTGGTGCGGCCTGGTGGGAAGAATCTAAAGGCTCACAAGACTCCAGTCTGCTCTCCTAGCTTCCTACTCCAGCTACGCCCAAGCCCTGCAGCCAACACCTCCTGTCCTCCGTGGACTCTCACGCCTCTAAAACCACAGACCTAAACAAGCCCCGTTTCTCTGAGGCGCCCTGGTCTGCACGGTCTGTGTAACAGCAACAGAGAGCAGGCGGCGCAGGCAGCTGAGGGTGATGGGACACTTGTCTTTTCTGCACTGGCCTCAGGACAGCTCCTGTGGTGATGAGAGCAGCCACAGAATCATTTCATTTATGTGAGAACCAGGACACAGACGTTACAATTCTGTGGGGAGCAAACTAGACTGTATCAGCATTTGAAGACTCTCAGCCTGCTGCAGCCTTGAATTCAAGTCTTGCTGACAATGATTCCGCACACACACAGCAGCCCTGCATCAGACAGGTGGCCTAGGAGCAGCATATCTTCTCCACAGCTCAGTCCTTCATTTGACGGCTTCCTAGACGGGGTGATCAACCAGGCTTCTGTCCTTCTCCAGCACGGTCCATTTTCAGTTGTAGCCTACTTCTGCAGAGGAGCCTCTCTGGCCCTCTGCCAGTGAGCACAACAAACATATGGGTTCTGATGGGTGCCCTCCTGTCCTATCCTGTAGCCGAGGAAGGTCAGCTTTATGACTCTAAACCACTTCCACAGAGCAGACCGGAGCCACAAAGGCTCACTCTGACGGAAACCTAAACATTCACCTTAAACTTTCTCCGTATTTAGTGTGTGCGCATGCGTGTGTTCATGGAAGTCAGAAGACAGCTTTTGTGAATCAACTCTATCACATGGCCCGGGGATCAAACTGAAGTTGTCAGGATTGGCAGCTAGCACATTTACCCCTGAGTCATTGCTTTCGCCCTATTAAACAATTTCCTGAAAAATCTTTAAAAAATAAGTGAGCAGGCCAGGCGGCGGCGGCACACACCTTTAATCCCAGCACTCGGGAGGCAGTGCCAGGCAGATCTCTGTGAGTTCAAGGCCAGCCTGGTCTACAGAGTGAGTTCCAGGATAGCCAGGGCTACACAGAGAAACTCTGTGTCAAACAGGAAAAAAAAAAAAAAAGTGAACAACGTATTCACGTCCTTAGGAAAGCATTCTGGGCTCTGAAAGTATATGGGTATATATATCCCTCTATATAATCACTATTCAAATATTTTCTGATAAAGCTGAATTATGTTTCTAAGCCATTATGTGTGTGAAGACGATGGAGCCTTTCTAACTAAGAAAGGATGCTATGCTAGCTTGTATCAGCCTGTGTATATGGAGAGAACCGAAGTGATTGAATACTCTATGTAACAATCTACACAACCAGGGTTAAAAAGAGCCGCCTCAGCCCATGAAGAGAGTCAAGCTCTGCAGGCACCAGGGGCCCACACAAGCTTGTGGAAGAGGCAGCAGGAGCTGACGGGGCTGCAGTCCACACGGCACAGACAAGAACCAAACCAGCTCACCCGGCAGGAGTACAGCAACTCTACTCCAGACTGGCGTCTCTCCAGCCAGCGTGGTGGATTATACAAGCCAGAGACTCCCACCAGGAGGGGGCAGAGCGGCCGTCGGAAGGCAGTGCCACTAGTCCATGTGAGTGACCTCTAGGCCTGCTAGCCACAGCCCCCTCTTCTACTCTGGCTCATTATGAAGGGGCCCAGGGACACATGACCCCAGCACCAAGTTTCAGCTTTCTCAGTGGGAAGTTACAGACACAAGGTTTTATCTGAAAAGGGCAAACTGAAGGCGGGTAAGAGGCAGTGAGAACTGGGGACCAAGAGATCCAGACACAACTCCACGGGATGGATCTCCAGGAAAACCTCCCATTTCACACTGGAGATAAAGTCCTCTTCATACCTGAATGTCTTTAAAAGCAAATGCTAGAAGGACTGTGATCCGAGGGTCACTGGACTCTGTTTCCCAGCCTCAGCTCACAGTGTTCGACTACGAAGATTTAAGAAAACAACAGTGCCTCGATCACCACCAGCACGACTTCCTTCCACCCACACGGCCGACAGGAGGCAGGCACCTCAAGAGGGGATGGGAAGGCCACCAGCTTCTTATCAGGACAGGGACAGGCTGTAGCAGGGCCATCTAGACATACCCACCCTGAATAGCAAACCGCACCCAGTCACTGCTGGACAGGACCAAGGCATTCAGTACAACGGGCACCTCAAACTTCAGGAAATACCCATTTGCCTCCTGGCCAGGGCACAACTCAGAACGACCTCCCGAATAGCAGGAAAGATACTGTACAAGGGCTTACTGGGGTGATGAAGGCAGAGGCCCCCCTGGTGCCATCTGGATGTGCCCTCCACAGGGGACCGACCACTGCCTCAGTGCTGAAGCCGTTAGCTTAGGTGCCCTTTCTCACTGACCCTGACTGCCAAGGGTTCAGGAAGTGCAAGAGGGAAGGGCTTGGAGAACTATGAGCCAGGGCTGTGCAAACCCAAGGCATCCTCTGTTCTTCCCTGCACAGGGTTTGAACACTTGTCTCCGGCCGCAGTTCTGCTGAGCAGGAGGTCTCGCCCTCCAGAAAAACACTGCTCAGAGGTAACAGCAAGGTTCTGCCCCACCCAGTTTTATGCTGCCTTCTGAAAAACGCTAGATTAGTTTCACCCTGGCTTCCTACCTTGGGGTTGGTTCTCTGCTGAAGTCTCCGTTCCTCCCGCTCTCTCTGGAGCCTCTCAAACTCTTCTCTGATCTCAGCTGGAGTTCTCTTCCTCTCCACCACCTGTGAGCAGAATTGAGAGAGACAGATGAGGGCCCAGGACACCTAGAGAGCTGGACTCTAGTTTGACACGCACACAATAGCCAGGGGCCAGTTGGGCAACCCCTGGGCTCGAAGAGATCCAGAAGGAGCTGCAAAGAGGTTCCTCTAACCCTACGAGGAAAGCAAGGCTCTGCTGGCCTCTGGGCTCTCCAAAAACTGACCTTTATTTTAGTAACCTCTCACAGGCTGCAGGAACCTCACAAAGATAACCCCACAGTCCAAATTTTCTAATGAGAAATCAACAGTCAATGAGGTACACCATGGGGTTATAAAACTTGGGATCTGGGGCTAGAGAGATGACTCAGCGGTTAGGAGCACTGAATACTCTTTCAGAGGACTGGGGTTCAATTCCCAGCACCCACATGGCAGCTAACAACTGTCTGTAACTCTAAGATCTGACACCCTCACACAGACCTACATGCAGGCAAAACATCAATGTACATAAAATAAAAGTAAATTATTAAAAAACAAAAACTCGGGATCTCTAGTCATGTGAGGGACAGGTAGGTGCCTAAGAATCGTGGGCCTGTCCTCTTATGCCACTGAGCTGCCAGTGATGCTGCAGAGTCTGAGGGCCAACAACACTGGAGGATCGAACAGCAGATGACACGAAAGTCATAGGTCACCATGAGATCAAGTCGGTGACAAACCAGGGCACTCTAGCACGGCCTTTCATAGTCTTAGTGCACGGGACAGGAAGGCAATACAGTCGACATCAGAGGTGCAGCTTCATGGCAAGGGTTAGGCCACTGTGGACATCAGGTACCTCACCTCTGAGGACACTGTACCACATGACTTCTAAGGACCCTGCTTCCAAGTGCAATCCTGAGCCATGAGAAGTGCAGAGCCTGGGGCATGATGGAGCATGGTGCTGAGGCTCAGCCTGTAATGTGCTACAGTGAAAATATCGAGAGCTGCTGGGTCCTTCTGCTTCTGCTCACGCTTTACAAAAGTTCTGCACACAGCTGATTACAATCAGAGCCAACTGCCACATGAACATGGCTGGTCCCTGTGGTGACAGTTTGTTTGTGCTCTAACAAATAAAAGCTGGCTTGGAGGTCGGAGGGCAGAGCTAGCCACTAGAGGCCAGGCAGTAATGGCATATACCTTTAATCTCAGCACTTGGGAGGAGGAAACAGGAAGTGATAAGGCGGGATGGAGGAGCT